TGATTAAAATAACACCTTAAAAAACTGCCGGCGATTTATTGGTCCCATTTTATTTATTTAAAAATCCAAACTGCCGTTTAACGGCCCTGGGCCAATTTGGCAGAATCCGGTATTAGTGCTGTAATTCATGCTGGTGGGGAGACAGGTGAAAAAGGTAAAAAAAACGTTTTTAAACGTGAATTGCACGACGAGCGTTTTTGAAATGAATCAATGATCTGGTTATCGCTGGTGCGACTGCAGTCTTTGGAACAAACTTGGGGAACTCTAAAACGCAATTTATGGTACGCAACGTAAAAAGGCAACTGTTTAGTTGTGGTGTGGCCCTGGTGTGGAAAGCTGTCGAATAAAATGGCGACGACCTTTAAATGCATTGTTAAGCTAATTTGATTTCCGTCATGTTAGTTGCCAAAGAAATGAAAGATTTCTTGAATTTTTTCAGTGATAGATAGTGAATTTGAACCAAAATGTTATCGGCAAGACTCAGAGTACGACAGCCACAACCACTGAAACGTTATTGAAGTCAAATGAACACGTCAACTTCCAAAGCAAAAAAAGACTATTTTAAGTTGTAGCATAAAATGGAGGCACATACCATTTTGCCTCTTGAGGGGAATGGAAATCAGTTGATTTGAGGGTGTCACAATAAGCAAGGGAGTAAATCGTTTTTATATTTTTTGAACGTACTTTTTGGACTTTGTAAGTTACAGACCACATACCAAAGCGGCCGTTCCTCAGCAAATAATGAAGCAAATGAATTTTCAATGTCGAAATCGCAAAACTCGCCCTTTTTACGTAAACTGGGAAGTTAGAATTACTAAACGAAGTACAGGACAACGAAGATAAAATATCAAATAATCAACACATACCAACAATTATATCTCAAAAGTGAATATTGGTGGTGTATTTTAGGTCTAACCGGACAGGAAGTGGAGATTTGTTAGTACTCTAAATATATTTTAGTATGAGGTAGTAATTACGTATCAATTTCACGTTTTTGGTGATCAAAGTTCAAAGTAATTTTAAAACTGGATATTTATTATGAAATTTATATCATTATAAGGCAAGTCTTATATGGACATGATATACTGCAATCAACGATCGATTGGGCATATGTAACTTATTTTACGGCTCTGATGATCCTGACAAATAATTTT